GACTCTATTGGTGTCTAACTTGGCACAGTGCCTGGCACACAGGTGCTTAGGAAATGCAAGTTGCCTGACTGACTCTGCAGTAGGTGGACGTGGGCAATGCCAACAGACTGTGACATTCTGAACTTTGACTTCATCAAAGACTCCCTCCGATGACCCAGTCCTACGCCATCTTTCATCTGTCCAGTGCAGTCTTCCATTCTGCTCTCTGAGGACACCCTCAGGGTGATGCTCAATAAACATTCTTTAAAAAGGTTTTTTTTCCCCTCCAGGGTTTCTTGATGCTTTAGGAGGCAATGGCGCCCCTAATCACTGTGACTTCTGAGCCTCTATCACAATACAAGCCTAAGATTGGTGTTGGAGGGAAAACGGTCTTGAGAAATTCAGTGTTACGTGGTATAAAAACAGGTCCCATGCTAAGTGCTTTACAAATATTATTTCATTTGATCCTTATAATAACTGTGTAAGGCAGGTATTATTACTATCCCCATTTTTATAGTTGAGGAAACAGAGGCAAAGTGACATAGCTAAGAAACGTCTGAGCAGGATCTGAGTTCAGGTCTTCCTCACTCCAGGCCTACCACACTATCCACTGTATCATCTAACCGACCTCCTCAAAAACAAGGTGATATCCTACTTTGACTTCACATCTAAGGGACATGGCATAGTCATGGCCTCCTGGAACTTCCAATGTGAAGGCAAGCATGCTCCTTTTTCTGGATTACATGGTTTTACTATCTCTGACTAATCTTTAGTGAAGAGATCTCTCTGATGATATCAAAATAAATGGCTTCTAGTAGGCATTCCTGAAAATGAAAGTGATCACCCATAAACAATTCCATTTAAGAAGTTAATTCATTCATCAAACTGGAGAGATATCTTCTAGGTATTTCATCCTAGAGGGTCTATGAGGACACAAACATCATGTGGGGACAGGTTCTATTTGGATTCAGTTCCAGGCAGGTGGTAATACATGTCCTGACAATGTTGTCAAGTTGAAGTAGTTTCTGGCTGGTCATATGACAGTCTCAGCAAAACCTTCTTCTCTAAGGAAACTCTTAGCAATATCTACTTACAACGAAGGCATCTCTCTAAACAAATTCTAGAGCAGCAGAACCCACAAAAAGAGAGAGTGAAACAAATCTCCAGCCCAAGACAACCTGGATGGTTGATTGGAAAGGTCTATCTCGCCAGGCTGAGAGAGAAACATAGTTCAGCACAGGCGCGCAGGCAAAATATGTCTCAGAGAACCTGGAGCAGCCCTCACAGGACTGAATCATGGGCAGCTGTGGCCGTTTCCAGACTTCTCAACCCATAAACCCCAAAGACAACTTAAAAGGTCAGTAGGAAAAGGTCTACCCTGTGGTGAGAGAGGAGCTTGGTCCCAGCCCTAGGGTGGTGGCGGCTTCTGGCCCACAGACTGAGGGGGAATCGAGTGGCTAATCAGAGAGGGATTGCAGGGATCTCTGCTGGTGCTGAGGCAAGATTTTCTTGCTTTGCCTGTACTTGGATCTGGGTCACAGTTCTGGGTGGCGGTCCTGAGAAGAGAAAATCCTCCTCACAGTTCCAAGGCAGAAAAGAGTGCTTGTGGTCATTCACAGACCAGAGCCCAGGCCAGGCATGGAGTAAACACCTCGCCCTTAATCATACCACCTTGGAAGAACTAAAAACTTAAAGGTCCCTAGAAGCATCTCTGAAAACAACTGCACAAAACCCCTGAAGCTTGGGACAGTACATTCTCCACACTCGAAGCAGACCCCCTACCTTAACAAAGAGTTTAAAACACAAATAAAGGCCAGCCCCTCACCTAGCATGAAAGACAATCTGGGTACTCTTAAGACTGCGATGTAAAGAAAACTATCACTTCCCACAATAAAGAATGTCAGCACTTGGCAAAGACTGGTTAAAATATCTATTTCAAGAGAAGGATGAAGGGTGACAGATGTCCTGATCAATATGTCATTACCCATTCTACATTTTCCAAGTTCTATCCCTATACTGAAAGAATGGAAAACACTTGGAATATATTCTCCTGGTCTGTCCCACCATCCCTCCCCCCCTCCACCCAACAACCTCATTTCACACAAGTTTAGAACTGGAAAGGATCTGTAACTCTCTCATTTTCCAGATGAGGTAAAACATACCAAGGTAAAATTGGCAGCTCAACAGCACACCAGAAGACTGCTAGACTGGAGTCAGGACATCTGAATGCGAATCCTGCAGCTGACACACTTACCAGCTGTGTGACCCTGGGTTAAGTCACACGACTAACAAACAAGAGCACTTGCCTCACAGCTGCTGTGAGAACTACATAATATGATGCATGTAAAGCACTTCGCAAGCTGTACAGTGCTATATCAGCTATTGTCTATTATAGTACGTTTGGGAGAAGCAGAACTAATCTGCTCACTCAGTTTAGTGATCCCTAGCTCCCATTTCTATGCTCTGACCAAAGGTTTCCAGGATAGCCCAGAAGAGTCTGCATTAAATGGAAACCACTAAATTCTACCCCAAATTACATCCCTTGCAGTGTCTTCCCTCCCAGATTAGAGATCTGCCACTTCCTGTTTACTGCGTTCCTACTTAATTGTATGTTCTTGGGTTTCATAGAAGCTAGAGACAAGCACCATCTTTTCAAGCAGCCTGGGGACCTTTTTTGCAAAAGCTGTCCCCCTTCCCCCCCCATTCTAGCCTTGTGATTTCATCTATGCTCAAAACTCTAAGCAGAATGACTCCTTTCACAGCTGCAGACTACAGCAACTCACTCACAGCTTAAGAGTTTTAGAGAGTGGCCTGAGGCACTGAAAAGTTGTAACTGGCCTAAGGTCACACAACCAGGACCTAGCTAGGTCTTCCTCCCCCCAGGACCAGTCTTCTGGCGTCCCACAAGAGATTTCAGGGGACATAAGAACGCGGATATTATTTCACTATAACTGATTTCTTTTGTAATCCTATATATTTTCCTTCTTCCTTCCAGAGAAGGGGGTGAGAAGACTGCCCAACGGGCCCATGACACAAGGAAGGAGAAAAGTCCCTGGACTCCACCAGGCCGCCAACTACATCTTGCACGAAGATTACTTCCCATGTCTACATTCTCTGTATGCTTTATACAAGGACCCCCACGCCAAAGTCTTCCTATGTTTGGTTCCAGGAAAGGGTAATGTTGGAATTAATGTCATAGTTTTCAAGGTAATGGGCTGACTCAGTCTTGGCCAACAGCACTCAGACTGCCCTCCAAGGCCTGCTACAAATTCCCAGCATGCCACTGTTCTGTGTCTAGTCTCCACTGTCCTCTTTTACAGGTGTTTTCATTGTGTAGGCTGCCTCCCAGTCTTTTGGAGGCAGCAAGTTTAGTTCCACTACACTGAAAAGAAAGCAATAAACCTAAAGTAAGTTTTCTAAAGTAAGTTTTCTTGAATAATGATCTTCACAAAGAGCAGCTTTGGAGGAGGAGGAGGAAGAGGAAGAGGAGGAGAAAGGGGGGAGGAAGAGGAAGGAGCAGAGGAGAATCCAAAGGGGAGCTCAGGCCCTTCCAAGGGCTCTCCAGATGGGCGGCATCATTTCATTTGGGGTACTTCTCTTGTGAAATGTTTTATTGGATTATTCTGCCAGACCTTGTGGGGAAGAACATTCTGTCATCATGCACTGTTTGAGGAATTTTTCTAATTGCAAACCCGGATTCTAATAAACCAGTACCAAGAGGGCTAGGAGAAGGGTGGAGGTGGTGCAGGGACTTTTAAATGAAGCAAACCTGGAAAAAGGAGAGCTGACCGCCCCAGAAGCCCAGCTGGCATCAGCCATCAGGGATGGATACTCCAGCACTGACGAAGGTCAGGAGCAGAACCAAAGCTCTGGCTTCATGAAGGGAGCAAGTCTTCTTGCTTCTTAGCCCAGAGCCATTCAGCCTCAGTCTCTAGACAAGGTGTCTTTAGGTCAATGGTAATAGGCAGAGGAGGCAACATCAGCAAGAGTTACAGTGTCCAAGGGAGAGTTTCCAGGGATAGAACATAAGATCTCCTCAAGAAGTAAAAGCAACAGGCAGCTTTATCTAACAAACGTTATCTCACCTGATGATATTATAATAACCCTGGAGAAAACTGAGAGAGGAAGCGACTTGGCCAGGGTCACACAGCTAGTAAGTGATCAAGGCTCCCTGACTCCAGGGCCAGCACGCTATCCACTGTGCCACCCTATTGCATCTATATCAGTATCTCTAAATGATATCTGACTGCAGGCAGGAAGATCTGAGTTCAAATCCCACCTCAGACAATGGCCAAGTCATTCTGCCTCTCTCAACCTCAGTTTCTCTATCTATAAAATGGGGAGATAACAGCACCTGCCTAATAGGATCGCTGTAAGGTTCAAAAGAGATGACACAGGTATTATAGCACTTTACAAACCTGAAACACTTTTATAAATGCTCGCTCTAAATTACCTACAGTTGAGATCTGTGTGGGAGGACGGAGCTCCGTAGGCGAAGGGGGAGGTGGCAATGTGGATGCTCATTTATTTATACTTTTTTTTTTTTACATTGTAGAGGATAAACAAATGTTCCAGAAAGGAGGCTTCTTCCCCAGGGCCCAAAATAATACATAATAATCTAGCTGAGTTCACTTAGTTGTAGAAGCCTAAAAAATATTTCCTGAAAGACTAAGGAAGTGGAAGGTGAGCTAGGCAATCTCCTACCTGGACCTGAAGCCCCAGGGAAAACAGAGTCAAGAAGGCCAGGACTCTAGGAGGTGCATGGACAACTGGAGACAGAGCAACCTGCTGCAGGCCGGGTGGCCACACTCAGATCTATTTCTGGGGAAGCAGATTCTACAAGAGCCACCCACCTTCCTTAGGAAACCACGTCCATGAGATGAGGGCCCTGATCTGATCTAAAATCCAGTTTGGAAAGGAGACAAATGGCGTGCCCTCAGAGAAGTTCTGTAAGTTATGTCAGAAAAGGGATGTAAGAAAAACCAAGAGCTAGCTTGCCACTGGAGATCCAGGGGACTTACCTCTGTACTTTGTGAGCGAGGGAGGAAGGCTGGGAATCCTGAGGCCGGGCTGGGAAGTCACAGGGAACAAACCCCAACGGCCTTTGGGGCACTTCTGGAGCCAGGGTTTTACTCCTCACAGAGACCTGGCACAGAACTTCCCAAACACCTCAAAATTCCAGCTTCCTCTTTTGTTAAGAGACCTGTCTTTCTGGAGAATTTGTTTATTCCCTATAAGGTAAAAAAAAAAAAAGTAAATAAAATGAACATTACCCATTGCCCCCACCCCAGGGATTACTCCCTCCACCCACACAGATCTCCATGCCTAGGTAATTTAGGATCTGGTTGAGCTGCCTGGGGCGCTAAGAAGAGATTAAGCCTGCCACACAAAACTGGGATGAGGCCAGAGGCACGGGCTGAGAACCCATCCTTCAGCCCACAAGCCAACACAGCCTCCAATTAGCTACACACTTAGATCAAATTTCCGGCTAACAGAACACAAGAAGAACTCCTTCTGAATCTCACTGGGCTGAGAGCTGCCTGGTATCTCCCCTACAGGAAGGTACCTCCCATCTCCCCACCTACTGGCCACCTTCTTTACTTTCTAGTCCCTCCCTCTGAGTTCTCTTTTCTCCCTCGATTATTTCTCGTAACCCTTTATCACCTCCTGTACTGGCTTCTTTCCTGGTCCCAAAGAACGCTCACTTGATCCTGCCCGCTTCCCCTCACTCCCATCTCAAACTGTTATGGCTCAAAAGAACTGTTTCATCTACTAAAGAACAGACACGGGGAAGCTGCAGGGACTATTTCGGAAGTACTTTGCTATACAAGGCAGTTTTAGGCAGCTAGGTGGTACAGTGCACAGAACATTCAGCAGGAAGACGGAAGTTCAAACCAAGCATCAGAAATTATTAGCTGTGTGACTCTGGGCAAGTCATTTAACCCGTCTGCTTGTTTCCAACTGTAAAAATGGAGATTATAATAGCACTCACCTCCCAAGGTTGTCGTAAGAGAATCAAATGAAATAATATTTGTGGAGTGCTTAGCAAAGAGCCAGGCACACAGCAGGTGCATGTACACCTAGTAGGTGCTTAAGTAATGCTTGTTTCCTGCCTTGGGCTTCATTTATCGCCATACCTAGCCTTGACCTGAGTTTGCCTTTTTGACAATTCACTAGCTACCACACTAAAAGCTCTCCTACTTAGGACCTCTCTGTTAATTGACAAGCGTGGGAAATTCCCAATGATAAATTTCTCCTCCCCAGAGGCTGGCTCCACTGGTAAAAGTCACACAACTGAGATGATTTTTATCCACTATAAATTTAGGGTGCATCACCCCAGTTGGGTGGTGGAAAAAACCACACCTTCATATTCACTAAACTTTAAGTAAAATTTAGCCTTCAATTATAAATTTTTTTAAAAGTATGATTCTGATGGGGCGGGGTCCCCAGGCTTCACTAGATGTCCCTGATACAAAAAATAACCCTGGCACTAGGCTCTGAGTGACCCCCTGAATCATTCTCTGTGGCAACTGCTGTTTTCCTCAAGCCTCCAAATTCATCCTGAACCTGTTTGCCCAGCGGGTATATCCCCCCCCCCCCCCAGGCCAAGGAGAGGATCTTATCTTTGGACAGCTCAAAGTGCCAGATGGTTTTTCTCTAATCTGAACTCAAATGTGCCCCTTGGGAACTTCATACTTCTGCCTCACCCCACCCCAGGTTCCTCAGTGACAATCCTCTAGGAGCCAGGTGACTTCTCTGAAAAGCCTGGCTTAGAAGAAATCTCCTATTCTACTTACTTCCCATTTAGGGGAAGAGGTACCTTTACTTCTTCTAAAGGCGAATCCTTCACTCACTGCCCTTGATTTTGTTCTTTGCCCAGACCTTTGGTCCCCTCCCCCCAGGTATCTTCTGCCTCTCCCTTCCCTTGGCTCCTGACATCTGCTTTACTCCAACCCCACTGCTCTAGTCAAATTTCTTGAAAAAAATGGCTGTGGCTCACCCTTTGCACTTCCTCATTCACTACTCTCTCCTCAGCCTCTAACTGGCTTCAGATTGTACTTTCCCTGATACTTGAGCTCTAAGTCACCAATTTCCTCTGTCAGATCTACCTTTTAATACTCATCATCTTCCTCGATCTACTTACAACACATGCTGAAAGATGTTTTTACCCAGGAAACAACTGGCTCTTAATTACTGCTTGACGAATTAAATGAAAGATAACCCTATCCCTCCATTTGTTTGCTCTTCGTTGGGTTTTGAAGCCAGGGTCCTGCCTTTCCTTCCCAGAGTCCTCCCTAGTTTCCTGTGCTCCCCTCCTACAATCTTCCCAACCCCATCCTGAGTGGCCCCCAAAGTTCTTTCCTAAGCTCACCTCTCTCCTGGCACCTTAGTCACTCCTACAGTTTCAAGTATTACCTTGAGGACCGAGAAGTTGTTTTTGTTATTCTTTTTTTTGGGGGGGGGGGGAAGGAAACCTGAAGGGCTGTTAACCCCCAAAAAGGCACTGGATTTGTTCCCTTCAGCCCCGGTGAAAAACTAGAAGCGATGAGCAGAGGTGGCAAAGAAACAAACTTTGGGTTTTATGACAGGATTTGAGCTCTCTAGAGACAGTCTGGGCTTTTTGAGTCTCAGAAGTCTGCAAGCACAGGCTGGTGGCTGCTTGCAGTTTGGCTGAAGAGGGAGACTGTTTTCCAGACACAGTCTGGATCTGATGGAGGCTCTTCCAGCCCAGTAAGGGGCGTGCAATCTTCCCAAGTGGCCTCCCTGGTCCCCTCCCGTCTTAATCACGACTGCTGGGATCTTGCCCTCTAACCGCCTAGAGGAAGGCAGCCACAGTGCAGTGCAGCAGAGTGTCAGGCTTGAGTTCAAATCCTAAGACACTGCCTCAGGTAAATCATGTGACCTCTCTCAGCCTCAGTTTCTTCATGTGAACCAAGGGGGTTGGCCTCAGTGGTCTTTAAGATGCCCACGAACCTCTGCTCTCTGTGTGGACCCAGCCCTTCTGGAACTTCAGATTCAACTTCCCTCCAATGGAACCTGCAGACCTGATATCTGACACCCTCCAGACCATGCAAGGGTCTTCCCATTCTGGCACCATCCTATCTTGTCACCCTCCACGAGGCTCCAGCCAAACGCAGACCCTCAGTGTCCCCGGCTTCCTTCCTGTGCTCCCGCTGCCTCCAACGCCTGGAAGGGTCTCCCAACATTTCTGCCTGCTGAATTCCTACACCACCAATCCAAAAGCCACCTTCCCTGGAAGCCTTCCTGGACAGTAAGGGCGCACATTTAGAGAGTACTCTGGGGTTTGCAAAGCCGTTTTCATATACTAGCTCAGTGGATCCTCATGCCTCAGGAAGAAAACAAAATGAGGTTTAGAAAGATTAAATGGCCTGCCAGGATCCTGGAGTTCTGGGAAATTTTAGGGAAGCTTTCCCTCCCCTGGCCTCCTAGCTCGACTGCTGTTTTCCAATGCATTTTTCCACATTATGATAGATTTCAGGATCTTGGTCTAATCTCCCAACTAGACTCACCCATCATTCTGTATCAGACACCTCTAGGCAGGAGGCAGGGTGGTGATAACAACGATGATGATGATGATGACAACTAGCACTAACACAGCACTTTCAGGCTGGCAAAGCACAGTACAAAGACTACAAAATGAAACCAGTCTCTGCCTTCAAGCTTAAACTGTACAGAAGAAAAACAACAAGGCAGTACAAAACATAGGGATAAGGATGGGCCCTGCGATTTCTGATGGACGGAATCAGGAAAACTGGAGTTTGAATCCTACCCCAGACAGCCACTAGCTGGGTGACCCTGGGCAAGTCACTTCACCCTATTTGCCTGAGTCTCCTCATCACAAAAGTGAGCCCGAGAAGGAAATGGCAAACCATTCTAGTGTCTTTGTAAAAAACAAACAAATAAACAACACCCCCCTAAACAACCCAAGTGGGGTCAAGAATCGTTGACATAACTGAAACAGCTGAACACTGCACACACAACAGATGCACACAGATGTGTATTTACACACATATAATGCACATACATGTCGACATATTTACACGTCATACACACAAACACATCGAGTGTGAGGTCAGGAGCAGCAGGGTGGCCCTGACTTGCTCCAGGGCTGGGTCCGGGGGCACAGACTCCTTCTCTGAGGTCCAACCCCACCCTTTTACAGAGGAGAAAAGCGTGGATCAGAGAGGGTCAGGGAGTGGCCGGAGGGCACCAAAGGCTGGGCTCCTCTGCCCCCCATACCACCAGGTCCAGGGGGCTCGGGCATTGGAAGCCCGGGGATCCCCGGGTCCGAATCCCCTCCCCCACCTTATTTATAACCGGGTCGGCCCTCGGGGGGGGGGCCAGGGTCCTGCCAGAGGCCAAGAGCTCCCACTTCCGGGACAGCCTTGGCCGGTCCACTGAGCCCCTCTGCTCCTCCTCCCTCGCAAAGTGCGGAAACGAGGCCAGAAGACGCGGGTTCGAATCCCACCAGGGTCCCTAAATAGCGTTTCTATTACATGAGGAGCTGGGGTCCTTTCGCGTCGGGACAACAATAACGATCACGATATTAACGGCCGTTTCGGAAGCGCTTCCCGCACATCGCTTCCTGGGCCCCTCCCTCCCTCCGGAGGTCGGGTAGCGACGATCCCTTCCATTTCTCAGCCAAGGGAACTGAGGCCCACGGAGACGACGGGACCTGCCCGGGGTCTGTCGCACAGCCAGCGTGTCTCGGTTTCCTCCTCGGTAAGGCCGGGGCGCTGGCGGCCCCGCCCGCGGACCTCAGTTTCCCCGCCCAGCCGCAGCGCGGGGGCCTAGACCCGGCTCACAGGCGGGAGCGGGGCCCGGGCGCGAGGGCCGCCTCGTCGGGAGCTCCGGGCGGCGCAGCTCCCCCACACAGTCTCTCGGGCCCTCGGACTCACCTCCTCCCCTCCCCGGGGGCCAAGGCCCCTCCTCAGGCCCGGATACAGCGAGCGAGCTCCGGCCGCGGCAAAGAGCAAGACCAGGGCGTCTGCGAGCCAAACACCGCGAGAGCCCGAGCGAGCGCGAGCGGCGAAGCCCCGCCCCCGGGCCACGCGCTCAGGCAAGCCCCGCCCCCACCCGCAGGCCACCTATGAGAGCGAGAGAAGGGCCCGTTTCCCCGCCCCCCTGCGATAGCGTCGCTCCCCGATCGCCCCGCTCCCCGATCGCCCCGCCCCGGCCAGCTCCGAGCCCGGCCCGCGCGCTGTCCCCTCTCCTCCGGGCTCTGCGTCGTGTTTGTTCGCGGTCGTTTGCTTCGAACCCCGCCTCAGCCTGCTAGCCCCGGGAGGGCGGGTGACTCTCGGCCTTTCTTTGTATCCCCGGGCTTAGCCCGTCTCCAGCCCTCTCCCCCAGGCGGGGCGCCCCTTTCCCTTCCCTTCCCCGCCCTCCCGGGGCCGACCTTAGCCTGCCGTGGAAGGGCGGGGCGAGCCTTGAGGCTGCGCCCGCAGTGAAGGGCGGGACCCTCGGGAGAGGGGCGACCCCGTCCTGGGCGCTCGGGTGGGGGGTGGTGTCGGGGTGGACCACAAGCACGAGGCGGGGGGGCTCAGCCGCTCCTCCGGGATGCCCTCCCTTCCCCCGGCGCACTCCCGGAGCGTTATTTACCCAGCATCTAGGTCTGCATGGAGGGAGGGGGTTTCCACTTCCCAAATTCCCCCACGCGGGTGGAGGGACTTTCCATGCTGAGAATCCCCCGCGTCAGTCTAGGGAGTTTCCACCCTGGGAGTTCCCCGCCTCCATAGAGGGAGTTTCCACACTGGGATTTCCCCATCCGGCCGAGACTAGGGTGGGGCCGGAGAAGACCTGGAAAATCACTTCCCTCCTCACGGCGGGGAGGAGCTGTCGGGGAGCTGCCCCCCCCAGGGGCTTCACCCCGGGCGCGTCGGAGAAACGAAAGCCGCCCCCTGGGGCTGCCCAGCCGAGACGGAGCGGGGCCGCCGCCGGACCGGCCCAAGCGAGCGCCCCGGGGTGGCTGGCCGCTGCTGGGAGCCTTTCCCCGCTGGGCAGCCGGCCGGGAAAGCCGCCCGGGACGCGCCCCCGGCCCGGGCCGTCAGACGGCCGAGTCCGATGACCGGGGAGGGCAGCTCATCGCCTCCAGGCCTCGGGACTGGCCGGGCCGGGGTCAGGTCCTGAGCGGGAGCGGACCTGGCGAGGCACCCCGCACCTGAAGGCCGCATCTCCTTTTGGGAAAGAAAAGCGAACGCCTCCGTGTCCTTCTTTTATCCTCAGGACATAACATTTCGCTTATTTGTGTGAGATTTGTTCTTTGGCTCGGCCAAAGCTGCCCGACTTTTCCGCCGTAGATGCTCGCTTGATCCTCGCAGCACCCCGCTGAGGCAGGCTTTGTAAGCTGCCCAGATGTCCTGGCACACCTGGCCCCAGGGGCCCTGTGGCTAGGAACCTGCTGACCCGACCGTCTTTTCTGTATCGTGACCACACCTTCCTTTTTACCAGCGGCTTTTCTGGGTGGGAGATCTGGGGCAGCAGTATCCTAGTAGCCTCTCATTTGGATTGAGGTCATAGGGCCTGGGCTACACAGGGGCCTCAGTATCCCCAGTGCTTACTTGGCACAGTGCCAGGCACGTGGCAGGAACTTACTAAATGCATTTTCACCAACTGCAGATAGAAGAGTGTGACATCACCGGGCAATTCTTCCCCCAAATCTTGGAGTCGTTGCTAGAGGCAGCTTGGTGATGGAGTGGATAGAGGACCAGGAGCTAAAAAGACCTGGATTCAAATTTGACCTCAGATGTGTGACCCTGGGCAAGTCACTTAACCTCTTCTGTTTGACTCAGTTTCTTCCTCTGTAAAAGGGAGGTAATCATAGCACCTACCTCCCAAGGTTATTGTAAGAATCAAATTGTAAAACACTTAGCATAGTGCCTAGCATATAACCTTGAGTGATCCTGACTGTGGCTCCACAGTACTTGAATTGTTTCTTTCTGGCTGTTTGCAATATTTTCTCCTTGACCTGGGAACTCTGGAATTTGGCTACAATATTCCTGGGAGTTTTCATTTGGGGATCTCTTTCAGGAGGATATCATGGATTCTTTCAATTTTTATTTTACCTTGTAGACCTAAGATATCAGGAGAGTTTTCCTTGATAATTTCTTGAAATATTATATCTAATCGTTTTTTTTTTTGTCGTGACTTTCAGGTAGTCCAATAGTTCTTTTTTGTTTGTTTGTTTTAGGCAGTGGGGTTAAGTGACTTGCCCAGGGTCACACAGCTAGTAGGTGTTATGTGTCTGAGGTCGGATTTGAATTCAGGTGGTCCTGAATCCAGGGCCTGGCTCTATCCACTGCGCCACCTAGCTGCCCCCAGTCCAATAGTTCTTAAGTGATCTTTGCTCGATCTGTTTTCCAGGTTAGTTGTTTTTCTGACAAAATATTTCACATTTTCTTCTGTTTTTTTTTCATTCTTTTGACTTTCTTATTGTTTTTTGATATCTCATGGAATCAATCATTAGCTTCCAGTTGCCCAATTCCAATTTTTAGGGATTTTCACCAGTGAGCTTTTGTACCTCTTTTTTCCATTTAGCCAATTCTGCTTTTCAAGGAGTTTTTTCTTCAGTGGACTTTTGTGCTTTATTATTTTTTTTTAACTAATAGTCCAATTCAGCTTTTAAGGTATCATTTTTTCATGCTTCTTTTACCAAACCTAATTCTTTAAATAATTTTCTTTCTCTACTCTGATTTCTTTTCTCAATCCTTCCTCTACCACTCTTATCTCTTTCTTTAACTCTTATAGGAATTCTTATTGGGCTTGTGTCCAACTAGTATCTTTATTTGAAGCTGTAGGTGTTTTCATATCCTTGTGTTCTGAGTTTGTGTCTTGGTCTTCCCTGCTACTGTAGTAGCTTTTTTTTCCCCCTCATTTTTCTAGCCTGTTTTTTTTTTTAGTTTTGGTTGGGCCATTGGGGTTCAGTGACTTGCCCAGGGTCACACAGCTAGTAAGTGTTCTGTGTCTGAGGCCAGAATTGAACTCAGGTCCTCCTGAATCCAGGGCCGGTGCCCTATCCACTGTGCCACTTAGCTGCCCCTTTAGCCTGTTTCTTGACTTTGAACTTTAACATTATGTTAAAGTTGGTAGTGTCCCAAGATTCAGGCTTTTTTTGTGCTGCTGTTTTCAGAGCTGGTTCGGGGGTCTGCAAGGCGTGTGATCCAGGGAGAGGCTCTCCTGGTGTGTGTTGTGCTAAGTTTGCCCATGAATGGCCCCTGCTCCTCTGCAGCTGCAGGCGCTAGTGTTCCACTTGGCTCTGGAACTATGAACAGGCCTTGTGCTCTCCTGCAGCCACCAGTGCTACTGCTCCTTGGCACTGGGACCAGGGCTCCGGCTCTTTTGTTACTGACCACAAGCACTCCTCTTCACCCTGGAACTGTGACCTAGAACTGCGTATGGGCAGTAGAGTTCTAAGGATACCTACCAGTGAGGGGTTGGAGTGTTTCTCGCTCATGCCATGGGCTCAAGCCCCCGTTCTGAATGCCCCCCAGTGGGGTAGCCCTAGTGGGTAGCACCCCAGTTCCATCTAACTCTTTACATCAGTTTGCTTTTAAAAGCGAACATTTACTTTGAAGATAGAACAATAATAAAAGCACCCTTCTTAAGCGCCTCCTGTGTCTGAGGCAGCTAGGTGACACAGTGGGTAGAATACTGAGCCAGGACTCAGGATGACTCATCTTCCAGAGTTCAAATCTGGCCTCAGACATTTACTAGCTGTGTGACCCTGGGCAAGTCACTTCACCCTGTTTGCCTCGGTTCCCTTATCTGTAAAATGAGCTGGAGAAGGAAGTGGCCGACCACTCTTTGCCGGGAAAACCCTGTATGGGTCCTGAAGAGTCAGACACGGCTGAAAGACCGTGTGCTGAGTACAGAGAAAGAAAGACCAAAAAATGGTCCCTACTCGGAAAGAGCTCACGGTCTAATAGAGGAGACACTGCTTAAACAACGATGTACAACCCAGGTATGCTGGGGGATAAGTTGGGGGATAGTCCCAGAGGGAGGGTGCTGAAACGAAGGAGGCCTGGGAAAGGCCTGTTCCAGAAGGTTAGACTTGGAAGAAGCCCAGAAGGCAGGAGGCAGGGACAGGAGAGAAGTGGTTTCAGGCATGAGGGACAGAGAACTACTTGGGGTCAAGAAATGAGTGTCTTGTGGAGAGACAGTGTGGAAGGGGGTAAGGCAGAAGATGTCTTCCATTCCTAATCCAGAACGGAGCTTGGGTTTGACCTGTGAAGCCTCTTTCTGTGCAGCCAGCAGCAGCTGAGATCAGGAACGCCCTTGTTGACATTCACCGGACTGAAGGCCAGCTCTCCCTAGTTAGGCCTTCTACCTGCTGAGGTCTGATCAGGGCCATCAGTCCACCCACTTATCCAGCAGTTGTCAGCTGGCATTGATTAAGCACCCGCTATTTGTCAGCCGTGGTGGCACTGGGTTCTGGCTTCAGGGCAAGTCACTTGATCTTTCAGGGTCCGTTTTCTCATTTTGTGGGGAGCTTGAGTCCCTTGATATTAAAGCTCTTGAGCTGGAGAGGAAGGAACTTGAGTCATCTAGTCCAAGCCCTCATTTTATAGGCTAAGAAGCTGCTCCTCCCTGTGACTTTGGGCAAGGCTACCCTGGGCCTCAGTTTCCTCCTTTGTGATCCTACAGGAGAGTCCCTTCCCTCTGCCTTTGTTTCAGGACTTTGCCTTTTCCCACCTTTAACCCGCTGTCATCTCTGAACCTCCAGCCAAGCCCCTGAGCTGGACCGGTTGGGCAAGTTCAGAGAACTGCCTTGGGTGGCTCTTCATGACCTGTTGCCCTGCTCCTAAGGCTGCCAGGCACTTCCCTTTCCCTCTCTCCTCTTCCTCCCCTCTCCTCCAGACAACCCATATGAATTTTGTAGGGTTTATTTACAAGGGAAAATGGAACACACTGACTCCCCCATAGGGCAGCGAGGTGGAACCATAGTACACAGAGTGCCGGACCTGGAGTCAGGATGACTCATCTTCCAGAGTTCAAATCTGGCTTCAGATACGT